ATAGATAGATAGATAGATAGATAGATAGATAGATAGATAGATAGATAGATAGATAGATGGAGTGAAAGCGCGTCAGACAGTGAGCAGTTCACCATACTAGCGTTGCGCTCACATGCGTTTTAGATAGCCAGCAGTGTCACACGCCTATTGGTACACGAGGTATGCCGCGCGACTGATAGACACGGCGCATGCGCAGTCCGGCACGCAGCCCCGCGACAGGTTGCAGCACAGGTCATATAGCTCAAAATCATTGCGCTGTTGCAAGTTTTGCGCGACGGCCAATCGTTACGATAGACGGCAAGTACATATATACGACACACGGGCGACACGCGCGTTGGTGGAGAGCTGAGACGCCTGCGGGATGCGCTGAATGTTGCAGCCACACGCACGCACGCACTCACGTACGCACGCACACACGCACGCACGCACACACGCACGCATACGCGCACTCACGTAGTACACGCATACGTGCACTCACTCTCGTACGCACATACGCACGAGCCACGTACGTGTACGTACGCACGCACATACGCACGAACGCACGCACTCACATAAGTACGCACTCGCATACGTACGCACCCACGCACGCGCCACGTACGTGTACGTACGCACGCACATACCCGTGTGTTATCAACAGCGTGATGTGACGCGTATTTATGTTGACATCGTCGTCACCGAGTGTCGTAACGTGCTGCCTACAGCCTCCTCTAACCTGTTACGGATAACTACAGGCTACTTACTATACGTTCTACTATAGCCTAATACGGATCACAGTCAACGGCCTATTAACGACTGCTATAGGCTAAAATGGCCTACCGTGGCATACGCGACTGAATAATTTAGAGCTTTGCAGACAGCTACTGACTACTCCAGTGAATTACGAATTACCATAGCCTACATCGGACTACTATAGCCATCTATAAACTACAGTGGAGAAGCAACGGATGATAACTGATGAAGCAACGGATGATACTCTAGTCTGCAGGAGCCAAGGAGGTTAGGCGGCGAGTGCTGGCACGCCACACCTGTAGCAGCTGCTGTTGCCTATACTACAAGCGACCAAAGTGCAGTGACCAGCGACCAGCGACCAGAGTGCTAACAGTACTACAAGCGACCAGAGTGCAGTGACCAGTGACCAGCAACCAGAGGACTAACAGTACTACAAGCGACCAGAGTGCAGTGATCAGCGACCAGCAACCAGAGTGCAGTGACCAGCGACCAGCAACCAGAGGACTAACAGTACTACAAGCGACCAGAGTGCAGTGATCAGCGACCAGCAACCAGAGTGCAGTGACCAGCGACCAGCGACCAGAGTGCTAACAGTGCTACAAGCGACCAGAGTGCAGTGACCAGCGACCAGCGACCAGAGTGTTAACAGTGCTACAAGCGACCAGAGTGCAGTGACCAGCGACCAGCGACCAGAGTGTTAACAGTGCTACAAGCGACCAGAGTGCAGTGACCAGCGACCAGCGACCAGAGTGACAACAGTGCTACAAGCGACCAGAGTGCAGTGACCAGCGACCAGCGACCAGAGTGACAACAGTGCTACAAGCGACCAGAGTGCAGTGAATCGAGTAAGTATCGTACGT